TATATATAACTTTCATTTACCTTCAATACGCGAAATTACAAAATAGGCGCACGCGTTGAAGTGAATTATCATCATCATATAGGATACTATTCGTAGCAGCCTCCACAGAAAAGCCATCTGCAGGAAAATAAACAAATAATCAAATTGTTGCTGTAAACACGAACGTTTTTGAATTGTTTTTTAGTTACGTTGAAAACTACATGGCTGGCGGCGTCAGTAGGTCATTTGACTTACTATCTACAATGATATCGCAGGTTCGAGCTTCGGCCGAAACTTATTTGTTTTTACAAATTTTTAAAGCTTTTAACCTCTGCCCGTTTTGCCTTTACGCTGTCATCGGCCAGAATCAATACGATGAGACTTTTTACCGTAGACTTGCCCTCGCAATAGACATATGTATTTAAGACCATTACAAACAAATTTCAGCTGAGAGATTTTAGCCCTGAATGGGCCTTAGTTTAAAAAACTCAAAAAAAACCATAATTATCCCTCATTATTAAATAAGTTTTTAATAATATGTGTCGCATATTTGCATGCTGATACGAACGCTTGACGCCATTTCCATTTTTCTGAATATGAGCGTGTAGCTATCGATGCGAAGGAGGCGGTTCAACCTGAGAAGTGGCGCTAGACTGAAGTGTGCGGCGAAAGGATACTCAAGAGGCAGAAGTGATAGCATGTCATTGCGAAAATTGGGTGACGTACGGTAATTTAGCCACGTCTTACGAAACGAACGGACAGGGCAGCCTGACTGAAATATAGCAATATTAGAATTTCATTAGCGATTGGAGGCCAAGAAGGGCTATTGGCACCACTCTATAACAAGCCTAAAAAGAGATATATATATATAAACATGGATACCGTGTGTCAGGAATCGTAGATTATGCATTACTGCTTTCAAAGACTGTACGTATGTTACCATTACTATAATTTACAAATGGTCAAAGACGTCTTAAAGAAGTATTCGATCCCTGTCCAAGTGGCTACTCTGCCAGCGAGAGATACACCATCGAGTGTGACAAGCTGTTAATAAAAAAATCTCTCGACTTTTCACTGATCATAGTTGAGCTAGGATATACATGTGTGTAATATAATTTAATGCACAATAACCGGAATTACCTTGTAAAATTGTTCACGAGGCCGACAACATACGACGTCTACGATATTCACAATGTCCGCCGCAATGTCAAAAGTTTTGAATAGCTTCCACGTGTTCTCCTCCCAAAAAGTGACTCTCAGTAGCGGGGTCCAGGCATTATATGCATACACTACCCCAACAACTAGCTGCCAGAAGACGTAGCTAAAAATTGATGAGAGCCGTTTACTAAGAGACGATATTCAATAAGTACCGTTAGCTAAACGGGTAAACCGAAATCAAGCTAATTGTCAAGATTACAGAGTTAAAGCAGCTATATGAACAGCTAACTAACTAAAACAGGCTATTCTCATAGTTAGCTGCAAACACATTTTAAGCAATAGGCGAATTTTTCAAGCTCTATACAACGTACTTCGAGATCTGAAACCCATTATTATATGTGGCACAAGTGTGAGCACAAGCATCGAGGTACGAATCCGTTGCGACTTCTCTACGTATATCACTTGGAAACACGAACTACAGCCGAGATGCGACATGACAGTACAGGAAGAGGCAACGCCCATAAAAAATGGGTCGCTTTTGAACGAGCCATCCGCGTTTTAACAACAAAATCTGGAGCAGGCAGACGTGGAACTTCAGACTAATGCATGCCTTCCTTTGCGGCGTTCTTACATATGTATGTACATTCACAGTCAGCAAAACGTCTGCTATAGCAACTGAAGGCGACCTTGTACCGGGGTGTCCTAGCTGAAAGAGTATTAGAGCCTATGGTCAGGACGGCAAAGAGACAGGATTCGCGCATAGGCACGAACAACAACAGCTGCGGATGTAGACGTCACGATACCGGTTATAAATGGCCATTCAAAACTGCTGGTGTCAGCTAGTAGCTTTATGGTAGCAATCTGAGGCGATGATTTGCAAAAGCTGAGGGGCGTAGATGTAAAAGCGTTGAATTAACAAACATTACACGATGGCACTTTTTTGTTTCGAGTATGTTTCAGAGCACAGCTCATATCCGTTGGACGATCTTACAGCAATTAACGTACGAGAAAATCGAACAGAAGGCGGTTTCGCATTTAGTTTGATAAAACACGATTAAAGAACGTCATCTTCTGCAGCTTAAGATGAGAACAACCATATCAAAAATAAAACGATTTTTAGTATGTATTCATTTACTATACGAAACTCAAGTCGTATAAAAAAAAAAAAAAATTGCTTTCCGCACCTGTAGAAACTATCGTGACTGAGATCTTTGCGTCGCAACCAACGATGCATAGTGATGCACTGTTTATGCATTATGAGATCGGTACACAAGTATATAAGCAACACAACTGGCGATATGTCATACAAATAAACTACTTAAACCTAAATTACCGTTTTTCATAGCAACAGCGGTTTTTAACAAAACGGAATTATTATACCATATTATTAATAATGAAACATTTTAAATTGATTTCAATCTCCTGACTAGCTCGAAAGTTTTATCATAATATAACGTTTATGATCGGTATACTGCTGCGGTGACTTTGATGGACTTCATGAATTTGCCTTAATAGCAAGTTGTAAAGTAGTAAAGAAGTAAATAAAAAGAGCAAGTTGATCATAACAGCCAAAATCAGAAACAAAAATAATATCTCTTCTTAGAGATGAACAGAGAAAAATTAAAATACATTTCGTGATCTGCTATTTCAAATTTCGATCCGAAATAAAGGTAGCGTAGCTTTGCTTTATATATAACAAGTTGACATATGATTTATACTGTTAGTAACATACGATTTTTAGGTAGGTCTTAAACGCCATGTCGCAACGGGCGCATAATATGCCTCAGGCTAGAAGCCCATTCTACACTGGTAATTAAATATGGTCAAAACTATAAATCCAAAACTGCCTATTTTTTTTCAAATTCTGAAAAAAAACGTAACAAAAAAAAAAAATAAATAAATCTGTTCATCCTTGTAGTACGCGCAAAGGTTATGGTTTCATGCGCTTCCAGCCAATGACGTTTTAACTAGTGCCTTCCTTGACATTTGCCTCGGAAGCTGATCGTATTATGGACTGCATTTTTCGAAAGCCGCCGCACTATCAACAACCAATAAAATGATTACTTAAACTGAGTGAATTTGTAGGACTCTAAGTGCAGGCCGCATCGAACATACCGTTGGCTCTGAGGGTCGTACGTCTTTGTGAGCAGACGCTGTACAGACTCTGGCGTCATCATCCAGACGTGTCTAAGGCACTCTTTTTTTCGCACCGTATCTTGGTCACCTGCCTCAGGTTCCACACGAGCACACATCTAGACGAAACAAGTTACGTTTTGCAGAGAGAATGCATATCTTACTCTAAATGTGATACGACGATACACGTTTAGTTGCGAATACTAGCTTCAGCGGTAAGCGGTAAGGACGATCAACAGTTCCCCTAGTTTAGTATAGGATAAACTGATTATTATAATGTTTTTCCGTAGGCATTTTTTAGTAATTACAAAAACTGTCTGCAACATACTTTAGCCTTCCAATAGCCCAGAAGCACCTGCGTTACTGTGGTTAACCATTGAACGAATGTTACGCCACTCAAAGCAGCGAACTAGCAAACATAACACCTTAACCTGTTTTAAATCCGATCGGCAGAGTGCGCAGGGTTAGATCCAGTAGCCAAAATACTATCAAAGCCCTTCAGGTAAATGTTGTGTAAAGCTTTAGCGTCAGTCATCACCTGAGTTTCGAGATGCGGCCGTCTAATTTGGTTGCTGAAGGAAATGTCGATGATGCACCAACGAACGCGAGTGTTGCCAAAATTTCCAGAGACGAGGACTTCTACGTGAAGGTCACAAGAAAGCGGTTCAAACTAAGATGCCAAACTGACCAGGGCTCAGATCCGATAAGGACTGGCAGGCAGACCCGGTAGGCTGTAAATTAGACGAGATCACGCAATCTGAGGACTAGGTAAGTTGGGAGCCGCTTCTTACCCAGTTAGCAGAACACCATCTTTGCCGGTTGAGTACTAATCTATGTGCCAATGAAATAGCACCTTACATATTATTTAATAAAGTGTACAACAATTACAATATTCCGTTTCATTTTATACGGCTTCGTTAACATTATTTTTTGTTCTCGTTAAACGTAAATATGTGGAACCTCTTAAGCTTCCGGGTTAAATGCCGCCTCGATAGAACCGACGCTTAATTTTAAACTGGGACGTAGCGCAGTATCAGTATCAGGCAAGGAAGATCAAATAAGTCAAAAAGTCCAAGGGAACATTCGTAGTAGATATCGGCCAGTAGTAATAGTTACTGATAAAATGAATACAGTCGTACGTATAGGAACCAAACGTTTCCCAATATTAAGACGCAATATTTTTCTTAACTCGATGAGATGTGGAAGGACCATTTGCAGACGACCATAAACTTTTTTTGAGAGAATTTCACAGTTCATAAATTACCGCCATTCGATAAATTACCTTTGCAGAAGACGAGACAAGATGTATGTAACTGTCAAATGGCAAAAAGTGTGGCCGTTAGCCTCTGCGCTTTCAATCGCTTAGTATGGAATACAATTGCATATTACTATCATCCGTTCAGAATCAGTAACGAAGATAGTAGATTGACAGCCGTACGTTACTGCTTATGTTAATAATAAAAAAAAAAAAAAAAAAAAAGAAAAGTGATAATTTACATCGCGTGGCAGTTGTTTTGCAAGGATATTGATTAATAAATAAGTACTTCTCTTTTAAAAGTTAATTTTAATTGCCTTATTATTAAAAAAAATTAACTTTTTTTTTACTGATAATAGACAAATACATGAACAAAATAGAGTAGACCAATCGATTTCGTTACCGCTGAGCTTTTTTTTTTCTGTATCACATTGTCTGCATATAAGATCCCAACGCGTTTTAGATTTAGCTTACTTTATTGCGTTGTGTTTGTGGCTTTTATGTACGAATCTTTCTTCTATTTTGAAAACTTACCTTTATTTGTCGTATCTTATCATAACAGATCTAAATATACCTTGAGTTCCTCAAGCTTTGCTTACATTTAAATTGTGAGTAGTAGATGCATTTATTATAGAGAGGCCTGCCAGATGAATATTTATGAGCAGTGCGAGCTTATTTTATTGCAAAAAAAACAAGAGATATAATTCTAGATTCTTTAAGTCCCTATGTGAATGTCAGCACGAACAGGACATACAAGCTATGTCCGTAGATATGAACCGATTCATGAGATTAATCAATCGTTCAATTGTGACATAGTTGAAACAGAGATTCGGGTAGTATTGAGAAAATCAAGCTATAACCGTATCAGTCGACAATGATGGACCAATATCACCCGCTATATCATCGATCTGATGCAATGGCAACAGATCAACAAAAAGGACAAGGCATAAATTACTCGACAACAGTATAACGAATAGTTTAGAAAGCGGCTAGGATTCTAGTGTACCTTCATCATTTAATATTGCCAGCCCTTATCGAAATTATCAACATATTGTTGAAGATCTAGAAAGTTAATTATTGACATTGTTTATTATGTTCTTCCAATCACGCAGAGGCAGAGGTCAGTCCCAACTGGCAGCTGAAATTGTTTGCTTCTACGAGATAGGGAAAAGTAAGCAGATGTATAAACGATTAGGAAAGAGACTAGATTAAGAACCTGTATCAGAACCAGATTCGATGATATCACGCCTAAAAGCTTATTCGACTGTAAAATAGTATACAATGAACGGTACCTCAATACTGAAGTAACACTTGCGCTCCGATCCTACGCCTTTGAGTTATTTCAGTTTTAACATTATCCTTACTGTTCTTTGTAAGTCTCGGATTGTCTACAGTGTCGATATTTCGTGTCTGGGTGTGCGTATGTGCTTCCTGAGCGTGTGCGTGAATTCTGATCGACTAAGCGTGCACAGAGTTCATGCAGAAGTTACAATGGCAAGCTTCACAGCCAACGCATGTCCTGGCAGTGTTTGTTGTTTACTACTCTTATCTTAATGGTTATTTTTATCTTTCGACTAAGTTGTTTTCCTATTAGTAACTGAGAGGCTGCGAGATCTGTCCATGTAGAACAGTAATAACGAGCGAGGCAAGTGTTTTGTCTGCGAGAGGACAACATTCTGCTTTTCAACGATCTTTTTCGATATCTCTGTCAAAGTAGAACCCACAAAGCAAATTGCCTAAGATACAACTTAAGTAAATCTCAAAGTACAGGGTAAAGAACAAGCATGCTATGATTAAATTCATTACGTGATCACCTTCATATCTCGCTATATATATATATATATATATATTAGAATAATTGTTTTGCATATATTGGCAATATTCATTAAGACGCAGAGAGACCGGTGCGCAAAGAACGAAGACAAACGTATGATACAATTCTAAACTTATTCTGGCCGTATAGTAAAATTCGTGCGCTTGCGATTTTTTAATGTTTAGCTCAACCCAACTCGAACTGTCCTAGCGCTAATGTTCTTCCTTCTAATCAGCGTAAGCCGAAACAAATCAGTCCTTTTTCACCTTGCCTAATAGGATTCTGCAAAAGCTCCGGTTTTACGACATATTCGGAAAGAGTTCCACAAAATCTTCGCTGTTGTCGTGCTTCCATTACAAAAAGGCTTCTTCTAAGCTGTGTCTGTGTATTGCGTTTCTTTCTTTGTTTTTTGATGTTTAGTGACATTCTTTACTAGCATACAGGATCTCTTTTTAGTTGGTTACCAAAAAGTGTTGCATTAGATATTTCTCGATCTTATATATGTTGCGTAGCTAAAATATCGTATAATGCACTGCGTGTTCAAAGATCGAAAAGGCAATATATGGAAAATATGGAGTTTTTTTCCTAAACCTTTGATTAGCATATATATATATATATATATATATATATATATATATATATATATATACTCGTGACTAGAAATTGACAGCTTAAGGTCCTCAACTCATATTATCAGATAGTAGATCATTTTGTATTATTGGAAACATTTGTTAGGTTTAATAAGTATGTTAGCTTAATAAATTAGTGACTTCGATGAGTGCCCGTTAATCGGGTTAACATGGTCGAATTGCACCTGGGCGTCTGAGTATGTCTTTGCCATTTTTACCACGATTGCAGTAATGAGGTGTGTCACAAAAGTCCGTTGTTGCTTGCCAGCAGCTAACGGTCGTGCCTGCATGTTTGGCCGACTGACTCTCCCTTGCCTTCTATAGCCACGGCTTGCCACTTACCGTCTTTTGATCCCTCCCTTACCCCGCCGTAGAGCGGTGTTTAAGCTACTGCTCATAGGGCCTTTCATCACGTATCCCCTAGCGCAAACCATCCTGTGCCCCAAGTGATCAGAGCCAAACAGGCCAGAGGGCGAAGTTGTTACTACATCAGAAATCAGACGGCAATCAAGCCACATCGATTAGCAGTGGATCTCGTCAGTTTTCCTGAACCGACTGATCGATGTCACGGTGTAAAACCTGCATTTCCGAAATCTTCTGGGAATAGTTTTATTTATGGACGACACAGAGGACTGGTGAGGTGTCTACCTAGGAAGCGAACAAATAATTTAGGACATTTGGCAATAGGTGGAGTTCGACTATTAAGAGTTACGTGCGTACGGTGCTTAATCACATAACTAACTCGCGTTTGACTTCGCCATCGAGTTTAGTAAAAACACACGCGGAGGAAGCATGTGGGCTCTTGAGACATTGCTTCTCGTCATATTCATCGGTAAGCCCCTATATTGGGTTGTAAGGACAGGCGGTATGGGGATGCGTTCGATAAAATGTGTTCTTTATCTGTTTAGGTAAAGATCATTGAATGTAAATTTAGATAAGATGGATTTAAAGTAAACTGTCTATTCTTCTCGAACTTGGTTTGATCGGATGGAAATATTTGCTAGCCATCGGACGCGTTGACATGTAGGAAGTTATTGATAATTTTAATATCGGTTAATATAGTTCAGTTGGATGAGTGCAGGTGCCGTTTGCTTTTGTAGACGTAATATGCTAGAGGACGGCGTAACATGGGAATAGGTTTCAACAGCGGCATCGATACTAAAATCTCTTAGGTGTTATAAAAGTAGTAGTAACGTAGAATGAATGGTACATCAGTGATAAGTTTTATTAATCAATCAATCAATCGATTCTATGAAAGTATTACACTTAGCAAAAGTTTTGAAACGACACGCGTCGTTACCTGCCGATTATATATATATGAGTCTATTTTTGTAGCTCATTTGGGCACGGCAATCGGTTTTCAGCAGCAGAGACCGTGAAGAGGGCATAAAGCTACTAAATATAGTGCTCCGTCGCTTCGATCGCACTACGTGGCCAACATTATGAGCAGAAAAAGCTCTATGATCTTAATGAGTTGCTTCTTATAGTGCGGCTACTAGGGGGCCAAGTGACAATTTCTAGCAACAACCCGCTTTGAAAATTCCCGTCTTAACGTCCTGGTATAGAACACGAAGGACATGATATTCGCTACTCGTGTAAAGGAAGTATAAAATAGTCGATTGGCACGCTTTTAAGATTAGAATTCATCTGCCTTAATGAAAACATTATAACCCCTAAGGTAGTATAGAAGATCAAGGTTGCAAATTAGTATCGTACGCACAAATCAATATGCCTAGGTAATCTTTTTAGGCTTTCGAGCTGTCGTCGAGTGTGTGTAAGCTCATGATCTCAACTGTCTCTTAAATTCTATACTGACAATTATAGGCAGATAGCTATAACAAACAAGCTTAGAAAGCACCTACTTTTTTTTTGAATTGCAAAGTTTGTTTTTTGTGAGCGTAGGCGTCTAGCAAATAGTTAATTAAGAAATTCATATGCTCTTCCAAACATATACATAACTGTTGATCGGTATAGATTAATTATGTAAATGTACTTAGAACACTCTTTTGGTGTGATCATCCGCAAAAAAACGAACTAAATCAATGACGAATTAAAATATTCTCACGTGTTTACACTACGGTCGTATGTTGTTCTTTGCCCAGCCGTCTCGCGATGCTCTTCCAGGGTGTAGCAGCAGACTATAATAGATCGATAAAGAAAAAATTACTCAGCCTAGGTGATCGATCACGACGATGCAAGAAATCAGATCAGGTGATGCTGCTTCGACAAAAAAATGCATTCGATAACCTTGGGCTCTGCCTCAATAAAAACCCAGTCCGAATCCACTAGGCCTGCTGGACTTACCTCCCCCGCCCCTCTTCTTCCCCGTCATGTTATTTATATCTGGTCACAGATTTGACTGACGTTATTTTTGTCGTTGCAAAAAAAAAGCTGCTCATTCGAAGAGATTAACAAATTTTTCTACAAGTATGAATATTGCCCTGCAAAGTTATCCCTACGATCATTTGTCTCCTTCAGTGAAGCTATGTTTTCGCTAGGTAGCCTGAACTATATACATGGTTTGTTTGTTTGCATGGATGCTCATAGTGACAATTTTTTTCACCAAAACGCGATCAGGCAGTCGAAAACAGTGATAACAGAAGAAAAATGAATTCCTACCATGAACAACTATGACAGTAGAACACGCACAAATAATAGCCATCTTACCCTTTTTGCTTTCAAATGAAGGCCTCAATAAATATGTCGTATTGGTCCATAAGTCTTGACTTCACTCACCATCGGATGAGCAGATTCATAAAACTCATGCGCAGTATTGTAGTAGGCTCTACAAACCTATACGAGATTAGAAGCGGCAAAGCTTCATTGTTACGCGGGAACTTGTTCGAATAACTAGAAAATGTTTGACTGAGGAGAATGTTCTAAAATATTTGCTAGTTTTCTAGGAAGCTGTTTACCCTACCCCATACACCACCTTCTATATTGTTATACATATCTGATAAGATGAAATCAAGAACTTCTGACATCAAGAACCTAATACAGGTATCGGCTTCGAGGATATACTGACTATTCCACTTCTGTCTCACCGATGTTATGTATGTTCTGTTTGTTGTGGAAATAAAAGTACGTGGCCATACAAAGATTTTTTACAATTTTTTTGAAACAATTCTCCAGAGTTAATCGGCTGGGCAGATACCTTAACCGAGCTATCATTTTATCGACTCTGTGTAAATGAGTATGCGTTTAATTACACTCTGAGATACGTAATTGTTGGCTCCATCAGTGTTACTCCACACTTAACTGCATATGCGTCCGATGAATTGTGAATAGCATGAGGAAAGGTGAGAACTTGCTAGAACAAGATGGCTTTCAATTCGATTTAAGGACCAAATAAGAAGAAGGCAAACAGAACGGTGAAATTAAAAGGGCGTCCTCGCAGTAGGCTAGCTGACACAACGACAACGCTTAAAATGATGAACTATAATCTAAAATAATGACATTTTAGTTATGTAGGCAGAGTATGATATCTTTTCAATGCAATCATAATATATATACAACACCTCTCTTTACTGTTTCTGCGTTATTTTGATTGCAATTCAAGTAGGAATTCAAGTAAGATAGCAAACTTCTCTAATATATATACGTATAGTAGAACGGTTACGTCGCCATTATCCCGGGACAATAAACAAATAATCAGTTATAATTTTATTAACTCAAGCAAAAATATAGACCATTTCATTTTTTGGTATATAAAATCCAGTACAAATACAATGGCAACGGTCAGATTGGCCAGAGCCGTCATGCCACAACACCGGCGATGATTACAGTTACATAAACATACTATTTCCCTGACAGCGCAAAGTGGCGTAAACACAGGCACGAAAACACATATCTCTTTTTGACAGATATTAAAAGATCCTTTCGATGCAAAGCAACAAAACTCGTACAAATAGCGCGCCTATCTTTGATTTAAGGTTGCTTCATCTTAAATATACACCAGAACTACTAAATATGCCATGAGTATGTACGGTGACTAGATGGCCTAAGTACGAAGATCTTATGTGCTACATTGATTTGTGTCTACGGCGTGTGTGATGGGGTACGAGCCGTTGTCATAAAGCGTGTACCCTGCTGTCCATCGAATCCGATTAACATTATGGAAATGTAACTGAAACCCCCGATGCTGTTACTCCGTACTGACGCAGTTTTAGCTGTCACCCGATCACATTTACGGGACGAAATTTTTGTAAGCCCTCTAACGGGCCCGTAATTTAGTTTTTCATCGAAAATATTAGACATGCTATTCATCTTATATAGTATATGCTTTCCTCGTATAAACAATGTGTTATAAAGCTGTCGTCCTGACCGGGTAACGCATAATGTCAGATATGAGACTGAATTTTACCATCGAGCAATATTATGTTGAACATGATGTAATAATGCTATACAACACCATAGATAGATTGAACAGATAAATTATGCAATTATAAACTGTAACTTCGGTATAAATGGGTATTGAGGCCAGATTTTAAGATACTACTGGAACAGCAACAAGACTATATATGTACATATACCTTTTTGTACTTGTCTGCAGATTGCTGCTTATTGATATTTTTTGTAAATTTTGTAGATTTACCTAGCGCAATTTACGAATATTAGTAAAATTGTTAAAAAAAAATTAAAGGAGTTCTGCTGGAATCCGTGAGTTGTGAAGAGAATTTTGCAACGAAGGAGCTTAGTTAGTTCCTTTGCAATGTATATAAGTCGGGCATAGGTCCTATGTAAGACAGCCCATGATGCAATAAGAGAAAATATACATAACGGTATTGCTAAAGATGTCTGCATACATTGAAAAGAACCAGATACGGTTGGCTGAGAGGCATCGTTTAGGATATATATATATATATATTCATTGAAGCTGAATCAAAGGCTTCTCAAAAAAATTTTCTTATTCCTTCCTTATATAGATTAGCGGAAATAGATTATTTAGTTCAAAGTTGGGGCTTTCATGTTTTGGCGGTTGTTCATTCAATGGTTTAGAAGTTGGTGGGAAGACGGTGGTAAGCTTATGTAGCCCATTGACAATACGTTCATTTCAAACGAAATTAACGAAGGCACGACATAGAGAAGGTTACAAAACTTATATCAGTCCCGATAAGGTCGTAAAAAGTTTATGCATGGTACACTAAACCAGAAAGAAATGCTAAATATCCTGATTTGCTACAGAGGCATCATATTATTACTATTATAATAATTTATATAATCTTGTAGGATTTAGCACCTAACACTGCTGCGTATTGTAAAAAAAAAACAGCCTAGAAAATAGAGGAATAAGAGGGTAAGTAAATGATAGGGTCGGAATGGGATAAGTTGTTTTCGGACAAAGAGCCTTGCTTCTGGAAATGAAGCAGCATTTTCGTCACACTTTAAAACAGTATAAAACAAAAATATTATTATATTTAGTTATCTGTTTCTTGAAGATTATTAAAATATTATAGACGTATAGGTAGGGGAGGTTTTGGCAACAACTGTGTTTATGATTCTCGTCCCCCATGGTCTCATTTTGAGTGACTTATCATGATTGATGTTACAACTCAGCCTAAATAGAGTCAAATTTATCAATACTCTGATTACTGATAAGTAGGTTTGTAAATACTACCATCATTATTGTTATTAATGAAAATATTTGTGCTGACTGTGATGTAAGCTATTAACGTAAAATGTGTAGATAGGCTTGGTACTTGGAAAAAACAAGGATGCAGGTTGACCGTTCATTCACTAGGTGTACTATGTAATAAAATTGTATTTACTTTCAATTTTGCCATATATATTCATTACTGCATTCAGGTCTTTTGTATCTACTGGCACATAGGTCTACCGTCTGTTTTGCGTTACCGTATTTAAGGCGACTCCTGACTGTGGTCACACAAGATCTTTTTCTCCCTTGTTGTGTAATCATAACAATAATGTTAATACAACGAGGAGATGTCCAGTCGCGTGGTACACATATCTCTTTTGGTTGGGTATTGAATAGGGAGAGGAGCTGGGTGCTCAGATTTGATGAGGTGCATCGTTTCGGCCGGCGTTCGAACGCCTTCTGCTTCCATTGCAGTGGCTGGTGGCGAAACGGCTAACGGGGAGGTAGGGCATTTAGTAGTCGTATCGTGGCGCTAGCTTTCGTATTTAGCGGCGGCGTTTGGCTCTGTGGCTGCGTGATGACCCTGAATGACGCGTTGTATACAGGCGAAGACGACATGGACGAAACGCGACGAACGAATGAAAGCGAATGAGAATAAATTGAGCCCCTCCCCCCTCCCCTTACCCCGACAACGGGAACAACGACAACAACAACAGTCGAAGCCGGCTTCGACTACGTTAAGAAAAACCGAAGATTACCAACAGCATCAGGATTATCTGCAGCAGCATCTGCGGTGGCAATACCACAGAACGAGAAGTTGCGGAGCAAGTTACTGTTAAAGAAAGAAGTGGTGCATAAATGCGCGCGACGTACAGACTAGTCGTGGAGTGACTATTTCAGAGAACACGCGACAAAATACACAGTGCGGTCAAATGAACCGGCAGATAAACGACAAATGGATAGACAGATAAGGCAGCATGCGGTAGCTCTGGAGCCATAGGGCTTCGCTCGATTCGAGGTGCAAGAACTAGGGACAGTTGTGGCGACTGCGAAGGCAGCAGAGGTCGCGGCGTGTCAACAGTGAAGTCATTGATGTTAGTTGCCCGCGTACTTCACCTATGTCGAATGTTTGCTGATTCAGTTTAATGGTAAAAGATGAATGACGATCAACGTCCCCGTGATATAGCCAGCTAATATCACGGGAAGAGCCACAAGAACTAGTACTTTGGCATCAGCAGCACCTCCGACTGTCGACGACAAAACAAATCGTATAATTATCAGGATCGTCTTAATCACCATCCCACCCTATAATTGATAATATTAATAAGCAGGTCTCTGTGTCGAAGGGGGTAGCAAGACACAAATCATGACACGCATTTTAATCGAGACCTTCGAACATACAAATAAAAAGTACGGCAACATGAGGGAATAGAAGAATGGCTAAAGTATTTTAAAAAAAAAAAACAGGATGGCGTATTTATTTTGGAACAGCACATGCATAAGTGTACTGTTGTCAAGGTCCTGTTTTTGATCGTTTGTTTATGCATGATACATACAGTAATATGTTCATACGTTTATGTCCGATCTTTCACAATAGTGGGTTAGTTTAAATCATGTTTTCTTAGAAAGCCGCGTTCACTTGCTCTCGATTATGGCCTCGAATTATTTTCGCGAAGGAAGTGGGTTGGTAGACTCATAAACGTGAAGTTACGTATCGATTTCCCAATGAGACTGGTTAATTTATTTGATCTTTTAGTATTTCACGTTTACGTTCAACTTGCGTGAATTGGATTACAGTTGCCGCGGGCATTGGGGCCTCAAGAAGGTCTTGGTACAAAGGATTTTCAACGTTTCACCGAAAAGGGCCATATGACGGGATAGCGATTAAGCATATAATTAAAGGTCAATTTTTTTAGTGAAATTTCGTCACTGTCGCAATAGAGGTGACAGGTGAAGTATGTCGTATCGACCAAAAGCTTCTAGCTTGGGAAACTTTTTGGCGGACTGATGTGAGCGCCTCATAGCTCGTGATTCATACTCCTGAGTAATATTGAAAAACTTGACTAACATAAATGATTAAAATATAATTATAGGCGCATTAGGGCTGTGCAAAGAATAGCCAATATTTGCCTATTCAGCCTATGTGAATAGAAGTACGTTGTTTTTTGTTGTTCATTGCCCCGATCTTCTCAGCGGTTAATGAGGTAAACAA